ACCCTAAACTCTAAACCCAAGCCCCATGGCTATCTTTCTTTGCGGCAGCCTTCGGACGTCAAGGAACTGGTGTAAATAAAAGCTCCGAGTGAAGTCATGCGGTCTGTACGGCGGTGTCCAACCGGGTGTGTGTTTCAAGTGATATGGTAAGAGGGCGGGAAGGTGCAGGGTGTACTATAGGGGCCTTAATAGTTAGAACAGGGTTTGGGTATATTGTACTATAGTTACAAGAAGGAACCCCCAAAACCCTTTTCTAATTATTCTTTCTCCTTGGCTTGGATCTCGTCTACCTGCTGGAGCTAGTTTCGGGTTGCCTACGTGATACCATGCAAAGCACGTGCGAAGCTTTGTGTATAATGTAGGGGCCTCAATAGTTAGAATAAGGTTTTGGGGGGGTTATTATAGTTATAGTATACTCTCCCCCCCCAACCCTATTCTAATTACTAAGGCCCCTGCATTACGCATGAGCTCGTCTGCAGACATATCGAAAGTGCATGAGACTTCCTTCTCATGCTTTAGGGTTTAGAGTTTGGGGTTCAGGGTTTAGCGTTGGGGGTTTAGGGTTTAGGGTTTGGGGTCCAGGGTTTAGGGTTCAGGGTAGTTTAGGGATTATAGTCGCTATAGCCTCACGTCAAAGCTGCGAGCCATCACATAGCGTCCCTGACGCGCGAAAGTCCTGAAGGCTTAGACCCCGAAATCCCTGCCCGAAAAAATTTCTAAGCCCCCATAACCCCAGCAACCCCACCGAAAGCCAAGGAGCTTGCTTTATGCCTTCTTCATCTATGATCCCCCGAACGTCACCGGGAAGCGAGCTCCGGTAACTCCCTTCGTGCAGTTCAAGAGCCTGAAGGCGTCCTCCACATCAGAGGATTTCGACAACGACAAGCTCAAAGACTACCAGGGTCTGCAGGTTCATTTGATAAAGTATGAAGACTTGTGGTCGCAAGTTGACACCAGCCAGATGTGCGCGACCTACTATGATGTCCAGCAGGGTCTCAGCCAAGTCCAGGATCACCTCATTATTCGCAGAAACAAGGGGCAAAGCTTGGCAGACGTGAATGTCTACAGGCATCAGCTTCGGTTTGGAAAGAAGGAGCCATGTTCACAGTTCGGGTCAGGATATAGAGGGTTTTTCGCATGCACCATTTTTAACTAGATCGCTGTAAAGGGAGCAGCGAGTTCGGATTGGGTGAGGCAAGAAGACTTTCAATCTGTGTCCTTCAGGCTTCGCATGCTTTGAGTCAGGGCTGCTGATTCCGGGACCGCCTTCAGCAGCAGTAGCACCACCACCCCTCAACCCTAAGGCAGGAGAGAAGCCTGAGTCTTTCAGTTCCAGGAGCCTGACGAGAGGTTTGTCGTGAAGCATGGTGGGGTCTACTACCTCGTCGTTTCGCAGCTTGGGCAGCGCTGGCCGGAAGCAAAGCAAGCCAAGAAGCCTCTGAGAGCGCCTACTACAGGGGCCTTAAGAATTACCTGTGCTATTTTACGGCTTCCTTAGTATGACTGTAGTATCATCTACCCCCAAAGCCCTATTCTAATGATTTAGGCCCCAATGCCTAAACTCCGACTCCTAATCCTGAATCCCAATTCATAAGGGGGTTTCCGAGAAAAGGGGACCCTTATATATGATAGTACCCTAAATAGTAGGATCCTTATTACAAGGACCCCAAAATAAGGTACCCCTTATTTTCGGAAACTCCCATGAGGCTCCCCAAAACAAAACCTCACCTACTAACCGTAGAACCAAAGCCTCGGGAGCCCATGGATCTTTGGGTCCGTAGGCAAGGTTCAAAATGCGGAGTTCAGGGTTTAGGGTTTAGGGTTTAGGGTTTAGGGTTGAGGCTTTGACTTGACTTGTTTTCTGGGAAGAGGGACTGTGATTTTGTTCGGTGGGGGTAGCAGAAAGCCCGCAATAATCCTAATGTAGAGTCCATTCATGGGGCTCCCTGGGTTCAGGGGTTTAGGGCTTTTGGGTGTAAGGTTCAGGGGTTTA